GACATTGCAAAATAAATGGCTGAGACCAATGCTTTGTATTAGTGGGTTAAAAACTGGTGTGTTCAGAGGATATTTTTGCTAATCCAAATGTTTTTCTTACTATTATTAATTTTAAACTTGTAGTCTTACACTCAGCGTCTTGTGTTTAAGGTTACGGTGCTGTGGCTGGAGTACACAATGGACAACTTCCACAGCCTAACGGTGAGTCCATCACATCCTGTCCATTTTGTGTCACCTTTGTTGCATTATGTCCATGTAAGTCACAAGCTTTTGTTCACCGGCTCACACTTTTTATTTCTAGGAAGGACACCGCAGGATGGTGGAGGTGTAGGAGCAGTGCTGATGCCATCAAAAGGTAAATTATCTTCACAGATTCAAAAACCATGAAGTGAACTGTTTGCCTGGTTTTGAGATTTATGTCCTCTTTACTCTTTTTGTAAGGTGTGGGCCGGGCAATGGGGGCACGAACTGGATATGCTGGCTATCCTACAAAAGGAGTCGGTCAGTGATAACACAGTTTCATTGCTGTTACTGAGGTTACAGATGCAAACAGTAAATATGTGTCCATACACCTACTGTGTACATTTACCAAATCTTTCTGCTGATGGTTACTCATATTCCTACAACAGATTTTTCTCTGATGCCGGTACTGAAGCACATTCAGTGGTTATGTTACATCTCAGAATCAGTCATTTGTTCTAACATTGGATCTCTGTTGGCACTGTGTTTCTAATTCAGGAGGATATCCTGCAGTTTTATCCCACCAAAATGGAGATAACTCCAATGGTAGACATTTCCCCACTTTTAAAATCCACTTAATGATCAATGGCACGATAAAAATCACTGTGTGAATTTGTTTGTTGCAGGATATCCTGTTAAAGCCAGTCCCACCAATGGACAACAAACTAAAGGTGCTATAACACATGTTTTATAACTAAGGCCTCACACATCTACACTAAATCACATTCGATTTTAACTTTGTTCTTTTTGCAGGCTATGGCGCTCAGGATGGCAGATATGGATGGCAAGGACCTAAAGGCAATGGTAACGAACATGTAAACCAATACAACAGCACTGCTCTACTTTAATAAAACTAGCATAGTTTCCATTTATGCTATTGTCTTGATTATTAAAGCCTTCTTGTGGTGGTTATGTGGCAGAATAACGAGCAAGATGATGATACTGGGGCTAAAAAGGTTTCTGAATCTGTTGTGTTGCTTATTTGTAGGTAATGCAGCTGCTGCACATGGAACAAAAGGCAATGGTAAGACAGTTATATGAAAAAGGACTCTCACTTCACAGTCCTCAAAACTCAGAACACCCCATGATTCAGTAGTTTGTAGAACTGCCTCTAGCAGCTGTAAACTCTATGAAGTCTTCCACATCTTTGTGGAGGAATTTTGGTCCTTCTTATGTCACTTTTGTTCTTTGAGATTTGAGGGTAATTGTGTTTATTCAAAGCTCTCTTAAGATCTTATGAGAGCATTTCATTCGGGTTGGGGTAGGGACCATGCTGTTGCAGATTGGTTGGTGTCCTGGGGATCAAAATCTAAATCACGTCATGAACTTCAAAATTGAACATGCTAACTGAGAGATGCAGAGTCTGAGAAGCAGCTCTTGGGTTTTCTGCAGATTCTCTGAGCATTGCATGATCTCATCTTGGGGTGAATTTGGTGGAACAGGAAGATGTTGAGTTGTGTCTACACACACACGAATGCTCCAGAGCAACAAACTGTCAAAATGTTTTAGAGTGCTGCTCACATTTGCTGCAGAACCTGCAGAAAGGGTGTATTTAGTTTTTCAGGACTGTACAGAATCATGTGAATTTTTCTTTTTTAACATAACTATATTTTCTTTATGTTTTTATCGATTTGGTGTTAGTGAAGAACCTGGTTGCGAATTATAAAACATAACAATGTTTTAAAACTGGGAGGGGTCATGATTAAGGTGTTAATTAAATTAAGAACCTCACATCTGTTGCAGGTTATGGTGCTGGTTCTACTGGAAATGTGCCTAACACCAAAGGTATTGTCTGCAAAACATGAAGTTCAATGCATGAATATTAAAAAAAGGAAATTAAATAGTTTTACAATTTTGTATATTATCATCACTCTTTAGGTCAAGGAGCTGTAGCTGGTCCATTGACTGGCTATGGGACACGACCAAATGGTAAGAAAGTAAATGGGTCATTTGGGAGCAGGCAGCTGGACTCTTTGACTTCTAAAAGCACACATATATGTTAAATACTCAAAATATTTAACAGGCCAAGGAGGAGCTGGAAGTAAACCTATGAAAGGATATGGCCGACCACCTTATGGGGCAGGTAATGCAACTCCAGTTGCTTTGTTGTCCACAAAGGTGAAAATGGTGATGTAACATTGGTATATCTACATGAATAAAGGACCGGGTAAGGGAGCCTTCAAAGGTCTGGGAATGCCTCAGTTTGCTGGAAGTTATAAAGGTTATGGAGCTCAGCCCATGGCAGGTGAGTCATATAGATGTCACACGCTCAGTCCTACAGGTGTGTTTGGCTAATGTACTGGTTATCTGTGTTTTTAGGTTACAATGTTGGTTATGGCAGTGCTGGTTTGGGTCTGGGGCATCGGTATGGAAATGGGTGGATGAAGGGACCGAACCCAGGTAGGACAATAACAACATGCTTCTCTGCTTTTCAACTTTACGTCTTCATCTATACACTCAACATAAATGAACTCATGTTGCAATGTTGAAACTGTAGGCTATGGTGCAGCAGCTGGTGCTTCCAATGGACAAGGAGCAAAACCCAACGGTAAAGATCACAGAGTGAATATTGGTGTACAAATCAAAAGCTATAAAATAAAATTCATTATTCATTATTCATCATTGTTATTCATCATTGTAAAGGTTATGCTGGGGCCAGAGCACCTTTCAGCAATGGAGCCATGTCAAATGGTAGGTTAACATGCACAAATAAATATTATTGCCACATGGAAGTTAAATTTTGAATTTCTGCTTGTGAAACTATTAAGGTTATGGATCCCAGAATGGTGGAGCTCCCAAGTCTGCAAAGCCAGGTAACTGTGCATCCACAATAAAATGTTATATTTCAACCTAAGTCAGTGTCAAGATAAGTATCAAGCGTTATTCTTAAAGGTAACTTATGCTAAACAACAACAGGATTTTCAAACAGGGTAGAAAACCTTTCCATGCCATTAGAATCAAGCTATCAATTGCCAACGATGCTATTCTCCCTCAAATATTATGGGTTTTTTTACACTCATGTGTGCATAGGCTGGCATTGTGTAGTGGTTTACACATTCGTCTAACAAAAAGAAGGCCCCTGGTTTGCAGGGAGTACTAATCTCTTTTTCTGCCAAATCAAAAATGTGAAATTACCCACCCCATATTTCCCAACTTCTTTATAGAGAGGGGGATTGGTTTCTGACTATTTTGATCCAGGTGCAAAAAAAAAATCTTTAGCTTTAACTTGAATGAAAGGATCTATGAGGGAAACATGGATAGTGTTTCAGAACAACTGTCATTTTTCTCCTGTGTATTTCTTTAGGCTTCGGAAATGTTCCATACGGGTATGGTGCCAAACCCAACGGTGAGACCATTCCTTCTTTTTCAGATTTCAATTTACGATTCAAAACGTTGATGCGCATCTTAAATATCGATTTGAACATTACTAATATTCCTTTTATGAACATTTGACAGGATATGGAGGCTACAGAGGAGGTGCAGTAAGACCACAACCAGGTAATACTTGTGTTGTAAGCACATCACAAAATAAATGTGGTTAACTCTGTAAGGCTAAGTATATCATACCTTACACATGGGTTTTTGTTGCTTCTAAAAAATTTGTGATTATTTTACCCTGAAAAACCTGAATAAATTACACAAAAATGTCAGATTTACTTAAAATCATAAAGATTAAAACTCATACAGTTTCTTTTCTTTACTTTCAACTTGTCAGAATGTTCAGTAAACATCCCAGTTTCAAAAATGTTTAATTGCCTGGCAGTCATTTCCTGCTTCAGGCTTTACAAGGTTAAATTAAGTTTTGAAGTTTCTTTAAGGAGTTTTTTGATCTCAAGGTTATGGGAAAGGACCTGCTGCCAATGGATATGGACCCAAACCCAGTGGTAACCAATTACTATTTTCTGTTCTGGTGCTCTATAGTAAATGTTTCTGGTTTAATGCCATTGGTGTATTTATATAAACTCATGTTTGACTAAGGTTATGGAGCTGCGGCAGGGCCTGGAGCTAATGCACTCAAAGGATACACAGCCAAACCCAATGGTGACAATCTACTCTTTATTGTTTATCATTTGCTAATTTCTATTCACGTCAAAATTGTCATTTTAAAACATAAAAATCAGCCTCGAGAAATTATTATTCAATTCTCTCACTAGGTCACGGAGTTAGAAATGGTGCACTGGGTGGATACGGAGGAAACCCATACGGTAAGTTTGAGTTATGAGATGGCAAATTCATACTTGAAACTCCAGCAGCTAGGCCCAAGCTTCAATGCTGTTCTGATTCTGATGCTGTCTGCAGGGTACGGAGGGTCAAAACCTCAGAAAACTACTAAAGGACTTGGAGCACCAAGTGAAGGCGTAAAAACACTCGACAGTGGTACGAATTCTGCAGAACACATACAGCATTTGGGAACCAAACAACTGAGTTGTGGACAATCAGTTGTTTTTTTCTTTTGGCATCTGTTGATGGCCCCTCATGTGTTTCTAATGTCTGCACTGTTTAAACAGGATATGGTGGTCCTGCTGGTGTAACTAAAGGGCAGTTGCCTAAAGCAGCCAATGCAGGTAAATGCTCCTGTGCATGTGTTTGGTGCAAGGTTGAGATCCCATATCATTAGATAGCACTACAAAAATGCTTCTGTAAACTTAAGCAGACAAATGCTGGGTGTGTACATTTGAACATTTGTACATTTTAATTTATGGTCTTGGAGGTTTCTTCCTGTTAAAAGGGAGTTTTTCCTTCCCACTGTCGCCAAGTGTTTGATCACTGGGGCTCATCTGACTGTTAGGGTTTTAAATATGTTTGTTTTTTTTACAGGTTATAACATGCTGCCGAATACAAAAGGCCAAGATGGAAAGGGTGCAGGTGAATTCAGTGGAAAGAGCCTCAAAGGTGGAGCTCTTTCTCCTGAGCAGCCAAGTGTAGCACCGCTGGAGGGCCTTTCCCTCCGACAAGCAATAACTCGTGGTGCAGTGCCTTTTTCCCCGACAGGTGGTGTCCATGCTGAGGTGTCAAAAGAGAAATACCAAAAGCTTGTTTCCCCTTTGCCCCAAGAAAAAAGCTACAAGCAGACACCGCTGGTCCTTCAGGTTACACCAGAACCAGCCCCAGCACTTCCTGCCAAACACCCAAAGTCTTCAACCACAGGTCCACAGATCAAGGGAGAGAAGGTCCCCATAGCCAGACCTGCACAGGGGGTTTCCCAGAGTAAACCAGCACCAGGCCCAGCAGCTGTCTATCCAGAAGGCAAGTACCATTACCAGGGTTAATACTAGCACCAATATGTCATATTACATATCGCTGTGGTGACCCTAATGAGAGAGAGAAAAGAAGATGTATAAATGTAGTACTTTAACTTCAGGGGAAATCTTATCAAAGTTATCGCTGTTATTACTGGAACTGCAAGTAACCTTTTTCATGGAACTGGAAGTTTCATTATGGTTAACAAAACTGAGTAACAAAAAGTTCTTATAATTTAGTTTGGTTTGCATTAGTTTACACACACTGTGGATGCACAAAAACATCGATTTTCGACATTTTCTACACTACAAACAATAAGCTCATTGTCGCAGGTTTAGTCAATTAATCTGCATAAATGCTGATGACATTTATGACCTCTAGGTTATATGACTGGCAGTGCTGTGCCTGAGCAAAAAGCTGCAGAGGCAGAGGTTATTTTGGGGGTAGACAGCACCGGTGAGGGGAACGCTGCCCCTGAAAGCACCAAAGCTGTTCCCGAAACAGAGGCAGCTCAAATTACAGAAACCACCGCCGCCGCTCGGGAAACAGCGACTGTTGTTGTGCCTGAAGTCGCACCAGAAGAAGCCAACATCAAACATGAGGCTGAGGCAGAGATTGATAACCCCGGGGTCAAAGGTCACCCTGCAGGGGAAACTGGGGCAACGGGTAAACTAAGTCTCAAACTAAGTGGGTGTGATTACTAGACGTGGAATGCATGCGTAGATGTTTAATGAATGCTGTGTTTTTTTCCTAACTCTCAGTATTCTGATGATATCATAGCTGTTATCTCACAGGGTTGACCGAACTGTTCACTCTGTACCATGTTAGTAGTTGAATTCAAACTAGGCTCAATGAACATTTACAGACCATCCAGACCCCTCAAGGTGACAAACACACAAATGTCGTTTGTTTGAGAGTGAATCGTTGCTGCTGGTCCTGGTTCTGTTTCAAAAAAGATTGTTGTTGTGTTGCATGTTTTCTTCAGTGCTGACTTCAAAAAATTACCAACCTTTTTGTTTGGACTTTTTCTCTTTTTAATGCCAAACCCCACACCTAAAAATTGATATCTAATGGTTTTAAAGTAATGTTTTGGGGAATTTGTTTATTTGCTTTATTGATATTATCACTGCTCCCAAAGGTAAATTGAAAGACAGGCGGTGCGCCTAACTCAACTTTTAATAAAAACCTGTTTTGCTACAACTGGAAGCTTTCTCCTGAGGTGTGACATGCTGGTGAGGATTAGTGGGTTTTAGTTCCTTTGATTAGCTGTTAGGCTATATTTCTGGACTTTATGCTAAGCTAAGCTAACTAGCTGTACAGCTACAGGAGCAAATATGCATATTTCCCAAATTCTCAACTGCTTTTATTGTTTGGAAGTACATGACTGAAAAATTCACCAATATAAAATATGTCATTTAGATTAAAGGGTGTTTTGTGACATTTTAACTTTTGTTACGAATTTAATTACAGAGTATTCAGTGCATGAGTTGAACTGCAAGTTTAACCCACTAATCTGATTTTTTTTTTCACTGCTAACTGTTGATGCCGCAACACCTGTAGATGGATCAATGCCAATAACACCCTGACCTTTCGGTTTCCTTTTTTCAGAGAGTGGAAGAGCTTCAGTCTCCAAGGGTCAAGGAGCTAAACCAACCAAACATGGTAAACATTTCTCTCTTTTCTTTGAGTAACAAAAAGAAAGCTTCCAACTCTGTCAGAACTGCCTTAATTCTTCATGTTAGAGGTTCAATGAGGCACTGAAAGACATCAGTGTTTAATAATCTGTAAACTGTAATCATAATAATAATATAATCAGTTACTGATCAATAATAATAATCACCAACGTGATTACATTTAGCAGTCATTTAAGCTGCTGGTGTTACTACTGATCCTCTTTTACGAACACAAAGTCTGCCTGTTTGGTAGATTCCTCAAGTCTAAAGTTCATATATGTGTGGTGGTTGTTGTGCTTATGATACTACATGCTGTCTGTTACAGACTGTGGACCATCAGGAGTACCAAATGGGCAATGGATGAATATCCCTAGACCTGGTAAACTGAGTCTCTTACTATAGTACCAGCGTGTCTTAATATGATTATCATGCACTATATTTAAAGCTCTAAAGATCTCTGTTTGCTAAAATGTTTGCTAAAATTTCCACTGTTTCTCCATGTGAAACGTATGGCAAAAGGAAATTAAATTGTTACAGCAACCTCTTCACTCATAAATAAAAAAGTCAAAATATTAAAGGGAGTGAAAACGAGTCTTAACTTTGGTTTCTGATGTCATTTCAGATTATAACACAGGTGCTGGAGCATCTATGGGCACAAACACCAAAGGTATGTCTAATAATATATAATAATAAGACCATTTTGCACAGGTATAGCATTATTTTTGCTTGTTCATATTGTTTGTCAGTGATTCTTGAAGTTGCTTTGAGGTTATGAAGCAGGAGCAGATGCTCAAAAAGGAAATGGTGTCAAACGCAGAGAGAAATACACTGTCCTCATGTTTAAGTGTCTGTGTAATATTTACAAAGGAGCTGTGTGCTTATTGGTTTAAAACATAACATTAGATTAGGCAGGCCACAAAGTCAAGGTGAGTCCCAGGTATGAGATGAAGGCTCAGGTGATCTTGTATGTTACACTATTAAATGAGCTTTTGCCAGCTGACGGTTGCTCTGCATCTGCAAATCGTGCTATCTAGTGTATTTATTGATTTATCTACCTATTTATTTCATTTGCCTACTTATTTACTTACATCCAGGACTGTTATTCAAAATAGCAATCTTCTTTGACTCAACAGTTAATCATTTAAAGCCAAACTTATCATATTTGACATATAGTCAAATCTTTGATTCTTTGAGAGTTTTACATCATAAGTGTGATTTTTCTCCCTAAAACATGATAATGTATATATGCAAATTATTATTTAACCTCTTAAGCCCTAACGCCCCCAGATACGGGGGGAAAAGGCAGGAGATCGGTTAGGCGTTGGGGCTTAAGTGGTGAATCTCTTTCTTTTTTTTTAAACTGTCAACATTTTTTGACAACTATTGCATGGGTCAGGCTTTAACAGGTTAAATGTGTTAACAGTGATCTTAGTTTTTAGTTTCACAAAACAATGTCAGGAATCGTAGCTTTATTTTCAAGGCGTTTATTTTGTAATTCCTCATTTACATGAATGTGTTTTCTTCCTTGGTGTACACACACACACACAAACACACACACAGAATTTGATTTTTTTTTTTCCAAAAGGTTTTATTGCAGGAAGCCAAATGTTCCCTGGACTTGGCAATGGATACGGAGCAGGTAATATTCGCTAGCAGTAAATGTCTTGATCACAAATAGAAACATTTTGATGTAATTTTTAAAGTACAATCTGATTTGTGTAGGATTTGGTTTATTTGTTTTGGGGGTTTTTTTGTTCTCAGCTGAAGTGAGGATATTTTTCCTGTATTCACTCAGGTTTTGGACGAGGAGGCTACCTTGGAGGGGAATATAGGAACGGACATACTTTTGGAGGTGAACTTTTAAATGGAAACGCTTTAGATTTAGTGCATTGTATCAGTGTGTAAGATGATGAGTAGTTAGGTGTAAGGAAGTTTGCATCTTTAAAAATCTGCCATTGTAATTTTACTGAAATGTTGCTGTTTCTCTCTGGAACTGTTGCACCATATTTTGACTGCCATTGTTGGATATTAACAGCTAACATAGTTTATGTTTTGCTGCAGGTTATGCAAATGGTTACAGTGCAGGTGTACAGCCTGACTATGCAAGTAAGAGCATTTTATGACATTTCGTTGAGAAATGTTGTTTTGCAGCAGTTAATTTTTGTGTAAACGGCAACATTTCTCTGTGTTTCCAGGCATTGGACAAGTTGTGCCCGTTCCTGATGGCAAATCAGGTATGGTAATGAGTAATAGATAAGGGTGGGTAGTTAGTTATAGCTAAATATAAGATAATCGTGAAGTATATTAGGTAAATATGACACAAAAGGTAAATATATTCCAGTGATGCTGATTGGACAGGTAGCACAGGACAGATTCCATACAATGGAGCTCCAGTGGTTGCTGCTGGAGTAGATGGTAAGACCATGTCACCATGGGAAAAACTAATCTAAGCACGTGTGAGCAGAATATCAGACAGAGAAGAAGTCTCCTTTCTCCCGTGGAGTAAAACTTTGATTGAAATTGAAATATTTTTCATGCATTTGTGCAGGGATGAGTGAGTTTGAGCCTCAGTCAGCAGGTCTTGGTCCAAATGGAAAATTAGGCAATACATATGGTGCCTAGCAAAACTTAACATGTTCACATGTATTTTATTTTAACAAAATACAACTAATCTTTGTTTAAAATCCACAAAAAAATAAATTTTAGAGACCTATAAACAGCAGAGTTTTTCCTGTTGTTATAGGAATGAGTGAATTTGCCCTTGGTGGACAGAAACGGGGTGCTGGGAAAGGGGAAAAAAAGAAAGCACACATCTTTGAGTTTATATCTAATAACACTGTGCCTTTCTGCAATGCACAACCTTCAACAGTATTTGTCTCTCATTACTTATGTCCCATCTGATCACGTGTTCTGCTTGCTCTGATTCAGGTATTGGCATCGGTGGGCTGCAGTTTTCTGGGCAGCCTGTTGGTACGGGAATTAATCGTGCAGGAAAATATGGTACGTCTGTCACCGTGGTGTGGCTTGGCTGAAATTGTGCTCAACAAAGAGGAAGTATAACCACACTTGTCCCATTTTTTCCAGGTTATGGATTTAGCCCCTATGGTGCTGCAGGTGACGGAAAGCCGTTTGGAAAATATGGTGAGAACATATATGTTTTAAGCAGTCTTTAAAACATACACTCACCAGATTTTAGGATTTGATTTACATAAGTATTTGGACCTTCTGCAAAAACACTTGAAATTTAGCTCAGGCTCCAGTTTCTCTTCATCATTCCTGCAATTCAGAACATCCTCTGAATTATATAAATTCAACACACTTACGGGTACTGTTAATGCCAACTTAGACATGGATCCTATACCTGGAGACTGGCTAATCATTCTTCCAATCCAACAGGAAACACTCTCTAGTCTATCCAGAAATGAACCAGGAACCCAAGGGGAGAGGAAAATAAATTCAAAACTTACACTTAGCTGTGAAAAGGCTTCCCGTAAAAAGGTTGTGGTCATTTTAAACAGTTATCTTTCCATCTATGCCAGGATATGGAGGGTTCCCCAATGGTGGACAACTACTTGGCCTTGGCAACGCTGGAAATACAGCTGGTAAATATGGAGAGTAATGACAGTCACTAAGTTCTCTTCAGTTTGAATTACCTGGTAAACATCTAAACCTCAGTCACGATCCTCTAACCATTTTTGTTTTTCTGTTTCTTGTGTTCCTCTGAAGGTTATGGAAGGCTGCCTTATGAAGCTCAACCAGCTGGACTGGGCCCGGAAACAAAATCTACTGGTAAATATGATTAAAATAAATAATATTATTTTTAAAAAAGCCTTTTAAAAATGCTGATTGGCTTGTCGTTAAGGTGAATTTAGTTGCCACAAACAGATAATGTGTTCATTTGCATATGATACTAATGATTCATTTTCCTCTACTTTTGAAATGACCTCGTATCACCTCATCGCTTTTCTTACCGCAGTCATCTCCTATACACGCGGCACGCCAACATCATAGAGCTCGTGCAGCTTACAAACACTGGGTGATGCCCCTCAGCAAGCTTGCAGAAGTCAGCGAATCAGAAGAAAGTTTTTGTTGTTTTAGGGAATGGGGTCTTAAAGAGAGAGCAGCTAAATGGCTTCTCTCAAACACAAGTGCAAACCTATGAAAACTTCCTGTAAAACACAAGCGGAAAAATACAGGAATGAAAAGGATTATAATATTTAATACAGTATTTTTAACGTAGGTGTTCCCCCTGTTTGAAATCTTTATGCTAAGCTGGGCTGAAGTTTGACTGTAGCTTCGACATGAAAGCAGCAGTGGTTTTCTAAATGTAGCTCTCAATGATGAGTCCACAAAAATGCAGACTACAATAAAGAATAAATAAACCAGAGCTGTGAAAACCACAGGGTGACAGGCTGTACACAGAGAAACCACCGTACACAGCATCCATGCATTTGTTCTTTTATTGTATTTCACTTTTTATGATTTTTCTTTTCAGGTCTGGCTGTGTCACAATATCAACCTGACCCACTCGGGCTTGGACATAATGTGAAAGGAAAATATGGTGAGACTGAGCAAACATGGTGCCACCACGTACCTGTCAGCTTTTATCTGGTTTAATTATCACCTTCATGTTTTCATCTTTCTTTAAGGTGGCGCTGAGGGTCCCTATCTACCACAGGCTGTTGGTTTTGATGAAGCTAAATCTTCTGGGAAATATGGTACATAATATCTGTTTTATGTGTTTTTTTTTCTTTTTCTTTCTGTTTTAACTGTTTAAAATAAGATCAACTTGATGATTTGGTGATAATTTCTTAACAGATAATCAGGGAGCTTACCAGTCACAGCCTCTTGAAACTGCAGGTGAAGGTAAAACTGGTCATAACTTGTCATTAATTACCCGACCAGTCAGGCTTAAAGTGTACAAATAATTTTCATATTTATCTTCATTTTGCAGCAGGTTTAACTTATGAGCCCCAGCCCCTTGAGTCCAATTCAGCTAGGAAATCCTACGGTGCGTCAGAAAAAGAATTTGATCTCTGAGAGATTCACAGAACATATGGACCCCAAAATCACCTGCTTCATTCATCTACTCTTTGTTTTCTTTTTTACTCACAGTGAAAGGAGAGCTGCCCACTCCAGGGCCTGCAGCTGAAGGCGTGGGGAGATTCATTGATGGATATGGTGGGTATAAAAGCTTATTCTGCATTGGTATCTGTTGTGGCTTCACTGTGCTCACGTCACTGTTCATCTGACAATTTCAGAAAACCTGGGCTACATAAATGGCCGAGTGCAACCACAAGGTAATAAAAATAAATAATAATACTGATATTTAGGTTTACATTTATATATATTTTTCATGCATCTTTTCTGCCCCTCCCCCCCTTTTATGGCACTGTCTCATAATTGCTGTGTTTCCTGCAGCCCCCACCCCCAGCCCCAACCTGGCCTATCCGTCTGTCCACTCCCGTCTCCCTGCAGAGTCTTCATTCACAGCTGACGCGATGCCCGGTGATGTTCGGCACTTCCCCGACCTAGAAGGGACAGCCGGCCTCACCCTCGACTCAGCACCCGCTACAGAATCAGAGGGTACGACTCAGGTGTCCGAGCAACCCGATGACCTGCCGCGTCAGATACACATCCAGCAGCATCTCAAACTGCATTTTCAGCCACAAGGTAAGGCCTGAAGGCTTTAGACACTTCTGAACAGACCATCCAGTCTATATTTCTGCTCTTGTCTTCCTCCCAAGTGTTGACATTTTGTCACACTGTCATCAATAAAAAAGGGAGTGTGGAAGCTAATTGTAAAAGTACATTTCGTCATAGTTGTAGTCCTTCTGCATTAGATTTATTTAGTTCAGTCTGTGTACCAGCTGCATGGCTGTTGGATTACTACATATTAAATAATAAAATTGAATATTTCTGTCTGTTTAGGAGCAAAGGACAACAAATATGATCTGAATGGCTTCTTTGGGGATACTGGGCATCAAGGTGAGAACAGACCTGTTTTTCCCTATGTGCTGTATTTATCTTAACCAGCCTGCTCACCTTTCTCCTGTATTCTTGCCCCCTCCCACAGGTTAGCTCTACTGAGAACAACAAATTGAATCTCTCTTAATTGTTGTTGTTGTATGTCTATATAATATAATAGTGATAATTTGGTGTCTTGTTTAGTTTTGTCCTTCACATTTTTGTCCCATGTTTACCGTTATCCTTACAACTGAAATGTAATTTTGTTTAGCATTTTTAATAACCCCTCAAATTAGTTGAAATATTTCTAAAATCAATAACTCCATCTAATTTATTTTACATGACAAATTCTTTTTTACTACTTGTGGCAATCATGTGTTTGTTATTGTACAGTATTTGAGTAATTAAACCTACCAAAAGAACCTTAAAGTGGAAGTTGTTTCTTTACTGACCTGTGCATGTTTTACACACATTGCTGGCTCTGTAATTTGCAAACCTGTTTTCAAATAATAAGTGGACACAATAAGGAATCGTCAGTGCTGGTTAAGTAAGAGTCACGAAGAAAACAACCGCCCAGTAAGGATTTGTAATCCTTGAGCCTGGTGCAGTTGTAGGCAAACGTGAGTGACAGAAGCATACATGTATTACTGTACATAAGGGAAGTACTTCTCTTTTGTTAAAGTGCGTTACGTAAACCATGAAGCTGGTTAGGTGTGAGTCAGTTACAAGGGAGGAGCAGCTGCAGAAGTGCACATGGCTTTTTCTGGGGGATTACCCAGCTTAGGAATAAAGGCTGTGCGCTGATTGGTCCAAAATCATGCCACTTAGCCAGCTCAACAGGTTGCTTGCATGGACTTATACCTGTCCAATGATGGGTTTTGAGGACCAGAGTTTCCGGCTGGTCGTGGTCAAGACCAGGCCGGGAGTCCCGAGTGCGCCCTTTTTATGATCTAAATGGTGAGGAAGCTAAACGTGAGGGCACTGGCTACAGGAAGTTATGATGGTGCTTTACAAAGGACCGCGGCTCTTGGACTTTGCAAAGACTCCTGCTTACCTTCAGTTCAACAAATATGTCCTGACGGGTTACCGGCCGGTGTCCACAGCTGAAGAGTGCGTCAGGAGCCTCTTCTACATGCACAATGAGCTGGGGAACATCTACACACACGGTAAGTCCAGCAGTTATGCTTCTTTCAACTGGTGTATACATGCCTAAACTTTATTCTGGACTTAATAAGAAAATGCCATTGCTGCCGTTCTTACTATACCTGAATCATTATTGAAATATATTTTTACACTTTATACGCAAAGCAAGTTTCTCTCACCTTGAATCGTATTAACCCGCAAACTAAACAGGTCACGCATGTCAACTCTCACTTATGGCCAGATACAAACACACTTGATAAGGATGGGTAATGAGGATATGGGGTATTAGCTGTAATCTGCCCTGGGAATCAGAGCCCTGACAGTGTCCACTGGTTAACTGGGCCGTTGAAGGTGACCGACACCTCTGATCTGTAAATGCCCATACGGATCTTGAGTGAAGCATCCAAAGACAACTTTGCACAGATTCTGAGCTGCTGTAGAATAAGATATGTGTTAAGAAATCTTTAAAACTTCTGGTTTTAATGTGAAACTTTTCAAGGCTGGCTTAGTCATGGAAAAAACATCAAAAAAGGGAAATTGGTCCGTGCACAAACTAGAAACTTCATAGCCTTGAACTTCAGTAGGCCTTGTCGTCTTCTTGCCCCATTTTCAACATGGCTATCCCATAAGTTCATTAAGCCTAACACTCTTACTAAGGGGAAGTGAAGCGTATTAGCATTAGAGTGCTGCTCGAGCTTCTCTATGTATGAACCAACTACTCATTTCTAGTAAAAATTACAATTAGACAGAGGAACCATTTCGGTCCATTGAATTCCTCATATTGTTCTGCAACAGGCGGTACTTCTATGTGTTGCACTAAGGTACTGTGTTTAAAATGCCACTATAAATTAAGCTGACACTAACCTACAGCAGTGGCACATACCTCAAAATACTCAAATTATTTTTATATTCTGCAGATTTCAGAAAAATAATGATGTTCTTTTTCCATCTTCCTGTCATTTCAGGAATTCCTTTCTTCCTTTTCTTGGTGCTGCTACCTTTTAGTATCCCCTGGAAGGAGGTGGACAGCATCTGGATATGTGTTGTCCACTATCTGGCCTGCCTCTGTCCCACCATGGGATCAGTGGTCTACCATTTGTTCATGAACCACGTGGGAGGAGAACACGTGTACGACACGCTGCTCTCCCTGGACATGGTCGGCGTCTGCCTAGTTAACACCCTCGGTAGGTTGATGAAAGAAAGTAAATGTAACCGCAGAGATTGCTCCTGATGCTAAGACCGGGACCAGAGGGGCTTACTGGTCATAACTAAGATGTATACAAATTTTAAGTTTCTGGAATTCAAGCCATTAACAAGCATTGATAAGTTACAACAAAAATTTTAGAAATGCTGAATACTATGGTTTTGATACAATTCAGGGGTGCCCCTGCATCCACATTTTTTTTCTTTAAAAATCTATCCATACATCTTCTAATTCTTATCTGGGTCCAGGTTGCAGGGGTACCAGTGTTAGTAGATACCCACCTTCTCCAGTTCTTCTTGGGAGACACCAGGGCATTCCCTAAGCCAACTAAGAGATAATCTTTCCTGGTCAGCGTCAGAGCTTCCTCACAGTGGGACATACCTGAATCACTTCACCAAGGAAGTCCCCAGGAGGCATGCTAGTCAGATACCTGAACCAAATCAACTGGTCTCTTTTAATGTGGAGTAGCAACTCTCTCTAGCAGTAGTCCCACCAATGACCGAGTTTTTAACCCTTTAGTCTAGATGTCGGAGTATTGAGGTTGTCTGATTAGCAGACCTCAAAGCTCTGACAGGAGTGTGAACGTGAATAAGAATGGACAAAATACTGTGGTGGTCTTAAAAACAACCAATTAAGTCTTCAGGCAGATTAAAGATATTAAACATTAAACAATTCCTCCCAGAATCACTTAAGTCGGTCAATAAGCCTAAAAGTCTCATGTAAAGTCTTTTGCAAAGATAGTTCAAGCCTACCAAAAGTCAAAGTCAAGCCTCAAGCCCTCATTTAACATTGCATGGGATTATCCACAACTTTAAGGCTAGACCTCAATAAATATCAGACTGATTGCCATAAAGTTTGTGTTTTTCAGAGGAACCCTGGATCACTCCTGATTTTTTCCTTTAGTTCGACCTAATGGTTAACATTTGCTTCTGAAAAACAGCAGCAAAAATAACAAGATATCAAACAATTTTTAGTGTTGACTAAAAATAACCATACTGACAACAATGCCAGTAACAGCAACCTTGCATTATCTCTCCAGGGGCAATTCCTATCATTTATATCACCCTCCTCTGCTACCCAATCGTGCAACAGACTGCCTTGCTGGTCTATATCCTCCTGTCAGCCCACGGGATCTACTGTGCCACCACTGCCCGCACTAACGTCCGGCGCCTGCGATCGTTTGTCTGGCAGGCCTTGTTCCGTTTCAGCCTCTTCCTGTTTCGGGTTTATGGCAGCGGGGTAGGAAGCCCAAATTCCCTGCGTCTCTTTGTCATCATGGACTGTCTAGCTTTACTGGGAGGGCTTGTCAACATTGTCCAGATCCCTGAGCGCTTCAGGCCAGGATTGTTTGACAACTGGGGCAACAGCCACCAGATAATGCATGTCATGGTTATCTGTTCAATTATCTACCTACACTGGGGCACACTGGAGGATTTAGCCTGGATTAAGAGCTACCAGTGTCCTGCTGAGTGATGCCAAGTGCAGCTAGTTCACGCATGCTTGTAGTCAAGGCTACACTTGAATTTAGCATTCAGTGAGGGAGGAGTATATGGAGGCCGAAACTGCCAAAATCAATACTCTATAGATATATATATTAAAATATTAAAGAAATATGCCATTAACTGCCCAAAAATAACTACTGTAAATTAATATAGCCATTAATACGTTTATAAAATCTGATATAAAAATAAATGTTTTGATTTATTTCCATATTTACATTTGTATTCCCCCATTTATTTACCTTCCCATTTAATTTTCAATGTATAATTTCTCTAATTACCTAACTTATCAATTTATTTAATTTTCTAGCTAACTAGTTTAGCTAGCTTTAGATAACCCCACTCTAGCTAACGTAACTACGTTAGCTAACTTAGCTAGCCTATCTAAAGTAGCTAGCTTTAGTTAGAAGTTACCTTCACACTTATTTAATCACAGCCCCTTATTCAGATAATGAAGCAGAAGTGCTTCAATAAATCTGACAATTAAATACTGATGTGTATAAAATAAGAATAATAATACCCTAAAAATAATAAAACCCTATTCTTAAATGTAACATTTACATAAAAAGCTAAATTAAAAGGGAAAGTCAATAAATATGAAGTTAATATACAGAAGCAAATTATGTTTTTTTCTTAAAGTTACATTTAAAAAAATGCACTTTAGTCCGAGCTGCTGAAATTCTTCACAGGGGAAGTTCATAATTTGACATTTTGCCAAAGAAGAATAAGAGGAACCTACAGTGTTCTAACTGTAAATCACATCATTGTATCTAATTGAAAATCCTGAACATACTTGATTTATAGAGGTCGATATGCAGTAGTTTGGGGTATAATGCCCTTAAATAGTTTTTTAAATGAAAGAAAAAAATAACTGTGAGAAAGAAAATATCTATTTTTATATCTTGGTCCAATCTGTATTTAACCCATGAATGGTGATAAACGACAGGAGTAGTTGCATGCTTCTGCTGTTTAATTGCAAGAAAGATATATTGTATGTACACTTGACTCAAGAAGTCACTGATTTTGCTATTGCTATCATTTAAAATGAATGGGTTTTTGTGACTTGGCAAAAAAAATGTTAGATTCATCTTACTGCCCTTCTTGTGAATTGAGGATTTTCTGTCTTTAGCTTAATAACCATCAAAACTGCATCAAAATTAAGTGAATTTATGGCCACTTTAGAAAATCAGACATGTTAATTTGATTTGGAAAAGATGTGGCTGTTACAGGGGTGGAATTTCTCACAACTTGTTTCATAACACATTGAACATTCCCATGTTTATCTGCAAAACTGAGGGCGGGTATCGGGAGAAGTCTGGGGTGTTTGTGTGGATCAGTCTTCATCTGAGCTACTGTTGTCCTCGGCGTCTGAAAGGTCGGCGATGGGAAACCGCAACATGGCAGCCACCCCGCTCAGCTGAGTCAGTTCTGGTGAGACAGTCCAGAATAAATCAAAAGGTGACACATCCAGTACTGCGGACTGGCTTTATATTTAATTATAAAAATGCAATCGGTGAAGTTGTAGCACAAATTCTTGACTTCTTATTTGAGTAAGACATCAAT